TCCGGTAATATTTGGGCACCGAGAACGCGCCGTTAAGGAGTAAGTCCAGTCTTCTGCGCTTATGCGGCTCGTCTCGTTCGAGAACCCTCCCACCTTCTCCCATAAGCCACGATGTTCCGAGATGTCCTAACGCAATAACAACCACAGTCAGCGACGCGAAACGGCCCCTCGCTGAACTGAATTGACGGCTGTTAAAGAGCTTCGAGACTGCGACGGCGACGTACTTCTCTGTCCCACCAATTTATAGGGATTTCGTTTTGTGTGTAATACACGAAGAGCGTTACAATGATCCCATTGGCTGATATCGTGCTTCTTCCAATGATTTGATGACATATTCCTCTGATTTGATACATATCGACTTAACAAGCAGTAAAACACCATGTAATTGAGCGCGTAATAGCGAGTTACACACGTCGATCGTGATTACGCTGATGTGTATAGGATCGCCTTATCGGAATGAGCATTTACTGCAACTTTTGTAAAGTTTCGCTCATATATATGCTATAAATTACGAAACAAAACAGAATTCACTCCAAATATGAGTCCACATTCATGGCGTTATTTACTTGCTGGTCTCTGTTATGGAGCCACAAAAAATATAGAAATAGCACGCTGACTCAAGCTTTCGAATAAGGGTACTTAGACGTTCATCAAGCTCGTGTTGGTAGCGCTACTATAAAAAAACTGAAATGCCTATAAATTGGTGGGACAGAGAAGTAAGTATGTTGTCACCAGCATCAACGCAGTCACCTGATTGACACACGCCTGCGAGGGGTTGGAGCTACGAATGCGTCCATGATTCCTGCAGCTCGTCTCGTGAGTCACGAGTCGTGACTAACTCGGTCACTGACGGTCCATCCTACCGTCGTCGCAGCGGCCATCATCCAGGGGATCTGAAGACACGTACATAATGCTGTGTTTGTGGCCATCTCAATGACCATCACATCTTCACGCTCAAACGGTAATGCCGGCGATATGGAAGTAATACTTGCGTAGCTGTGCTGACCTGCCTTGATTGGAGCGCTGCCCCTCGTAACCTCCTTGATGTCATTACAAGCCTGCTAATGACGAGGGCTTTTGATCTTGCTTCTTTCGGAGCACTTTACATAGCGTGAGAAGGGTTTCAGTGGTTCATCGAGCAGTGCCGTTTACCAAACAGAGTGGTGCTGCGGTAACTTGCGCCACTCTCGCACCGTGCGCACTCCAGCGACATTTTCTTCGTTGTTATCTTCGGTACTTTCTCCAGTACTCGACGCTGCGTGGCCCAGGTCTTGCCTTTGTACATTTCTTACCATGCTTCACATTGGCAAGATCGTTGGCCGGTATCATCATCCCGCCATTCGTAACAGCAGAAACTGATGTAGTGAACGTGGCATCGCGAGAGAACGAGGAAGCGCAGGCTTTTTTGGACGTACGCTCATTCTTGTTTTGCTTCAACAAGAACCTATCGACTTTTGGAGGATTGTGGGCGCTGCACTCGCCCAGCTCCGGGACTCGTATTCAAGCCACACCACACAGCCGACAATCGATGGGAGTTGGTGGACGTCGGTACGACGCGTCACTTGCCGTACTGGGAAGTCTCACACATCACCCACTGTCTTATCCTTGTGTTTTGAGCGTGAGAGCTTCTCCTTTTCCTCTAGCGCTGTCGTGCCGGTAGCAGAGCACTTCCGTATTCTTCGAAGAAGCTACAGAAAGAAGTGTTGTTCACAGTTATTCTATTAGAATTTTGATCGCGGGCACTCTCCACCTGGAGCCTCCAGGCTGTAAATGGAGAATTTCGCCTCATTCCTGAAGTACCAGCGTACCTCTGCTTCCTGTAGCGCGCGCCAGTGAGCTGTTACCACCGTGCGACGCGCTGAAGAACATCCCGCGCGCTTTTGCCGTTGTGAAGGTGGTGTTGACCTACTGCTGGTGCGCTGTTGCCACCGTGGACTCTGCTTCTGGCTAGCTTTGGCCGCAAAGAGGCTGGTATTGATGACAGTGTCGACGTGCTTCTGCCGTCGTACACTATGTTGACGGTCGTTGGCGTGCTGGTGAGCTATTACCTCCAGATAGCGTAAAGCCGGGGGATTGTAGGCAGCTCTTCGTACTACGAACCGCAAACCTCAGAACAGGCGGTCTTCTCATGTTCTACCGTGCAGTTCGGGCGGCCTGCACCCCCAGCGTGTTTGTACGTCAATTGTTGACTACTGATGCAGAGGCTGACCAGATTCGGTCGGTGTTGAAGATACGAAACGCAATCCAGCTCCCACATGTTTCGATGCTGCCACAGATCCACCTCGAGTATAAGCGTACGCCGCGCGTGCTTTGTTGCGCAGCTCCGAGCAATGGTTCGTGATTTCGACAAACGTTGGGATACCTAGAAAAGGGATAACGACCTTCAAGATCGAGCTGCTGAAGTAGACGCCCGCGACGACATGCGTTTTGCCCAAGTGGCCCAAGCCTGGATGGAGCAGCGCTTGAGAAACACAGACTCAGAAGTGTACAAGCTGTACCAGTTGTGTTTACGGCTTAATCGCGGTGTTAATAATCTGAAGTCCAGCGATACAGCTCTGCGGAACGAAGTTATGGCGCTGAAAGAGAGTTTAGTTGAGGTAAACGAAGTTCTCGATAAGGCAGGACCCCCAGGCGGCAGCAACGTGAATAAATAGAAGTTGTTTCTGGTTGTTTGCATCGTTTTACCTGGTTTACAAGCAGACTTGTCTTCACGAGCGCCGCTATATGTTCTAATACTGGTAGGCATCGGTATATGTATTAATAGGTTTCACGCGGTTGCCCACCGGCAATGGCTAGGACGAAATGGTCAAGGAAGGCCGCAACAAGCTGTCGTCAAGCCGCTGATACGGGAAATCCGTCGCTGGTCGCTCTTGAAGAAAGTCTGGGCATGACAAACTCTGCCTTCTTGTGGTTTGTCTTTGTGTGACTACATTGGAAAGGATTGATGCCGATTCAGTATGTACTTGTGCTTGGAGCAATGAACGTGATTTAGCTGACAAGAACCAACGCCACGGCCGTGGGCCGCGTGAATGAGGCTGCTGTGACGTGGAAGTGTCAAACTATACCGGTGAAGCTGCCATTCCTACTCAGTAGCTAATGTATCGTATTTCGTCCACCTTTCTCGTCTGCGTGGCCGTCGGAAGTTCGCACGCTGGAAGAATATTCTCAGAGGTGACAGCTCTTGACCTTCCCCCCGTGCTTGTTGAGGCTTGACCCTCTTGTTTTTCTTGCCGCCAAAGCCCAGAAACCCGAAGCACTTGTGCGTCCACGCCTAGAGAGCGAGACCGATGCCCAGAGCCGGACGCAGCCTAAAAAACCAGGGGGGCAATTGCACTTTATAGGGGTATACGCCTAGACGTCATAGCACTAAAAGCGTCGAGTACTGAGTCTTGGTCGATGTTACAGGTGAGATCTCGTTCGATGGCCAGAAGCATCAGGTTCGACAGCCACAAGTCACCGATGGTAGATCGAAGTCGTGTCTTAATCCTTTTCATTGCAGAGAAAGACCTCTCCGTACTTGCAGTTGACACTGGTAGCACGCAGACAAAGCACGAGCTGCAGACCCCATATTTTGAGTTGGTTCGTCAAAGTTTCAAATAATGTGTCGGCATTGGTATTGCGCACATATACAACCCCAAAAAACCGCTCTTTAATAGTAGCCGTGACAGCACAAACGAAGCGAATAACGATTGACTTGTTCTCTTTCTTGGCTACACAGCTTGCTTCATCCACAAGAACAGCGTAGAACCCATTTCCGATCTTAACTGACACAATATACTGGCGTATGATATCTGCCGAGCACTGGATAAGCTCGCGTTGAATTCGAGGAGAGGTGTACAGCGCATTTTCTCCGGCACAAGCTATTGCTTTGTCGAATGCAGGAACATGTTTTGCCAAGAACTGAACGAGCTCAAGGAAATTTCCTTTGTTTTGTGAGTTTTGCTTACAAGAATACACAACCAGCATATTCATTAGTTATCGTGAATATGGCACCGTCAACAGCAGTAACTAACAAACCTTCTCGTCGTTACCGCGAAAAGCGATTTCCTGTTTAGCTAAGAGGAGGCAAATATTGAGTATTAAAGTAGGTCGCGCTCGGTTCTGAGCTCGCTGACTATTCACTTGCTCTTGTAAGGCGATTCCCACATCATTTTCAGCCTTCCTACGGGCTTCAAACTCTAGAGCAGCTGAATGGTGTCTGGAGGATCTTTGACCAACGTGCTTTTTAAATCCATCTTTGCTCGTGGCTTTCTTCCAGTTTCGATATCCTTTGTTTGGTTGAGCATAGACCGTAAGCTCGCGTTCCATCGTCATCACTTCTCGGCTAAGATAACAATGCAAACCGTAGGCTGCATCTGATGTGGCTGAATATTCAAGCTACCGGTATTTTTCAAACCAAGAAGCCGAAAATGACCGTAAACACCCGCCTACTTCGTGCCCAGGATAGTGGGGCAAATAAGGTTGGTGAGGTCCCATCGAGACATAGACTTGAATCACAGAGCGTAAGAGACCAGGATGTTCTACTAGTTGCTTAACGAAGAAGGGATTTGGCGGCCTATGAGCCGGGTCGCACTTCACGAAATCTGCAGCACTACACTCCGTTGCGTTGTCTGGAATACCAAATTTCGAGCACCAATCAGATGCCACACGATGGTGCTCGGTGTGCAATTCCTCTGGACGAGGCAACACGGGGGATGGCGAAGCGTATCGCATGTAGTTGGTAATGCTGGACGTGACTTCTTGTTGAAATACGTCGTGATCGCCGGCTGATGTCGCTTGCCTGACATCACTGCTTGTACAACACTTGGCGAACGAAAGACTACCAAAAATAATTGAAACTCCCCCCCCACGATATAGAGAGAGGGGGGAGCTGGCGCCCCCCCCCCCACTTTGACCCTCGGTCCGCCCCTGCCGATGCCCTTGACGTCCAAGCCTTTGACGATCACTAGCTCCGCGTGTTGCACTTCATCTTGCGGTTCGCTGTAGCGCCCTCTGCTGCTTCAATCGAGCAATAGTCGTCCCTGACGGATCGCCACGCACGAACCGAAAGCTGCTGGTAGCTATTAATACAGGTCTGTTTTAGCTCTCAGGTAGACAGAGCAACACGCAGTCCTCGTCATTAAAGTGTTCAAATACTAAAAAAACAAAGAGATTAGAAGCTCTAAAACTTTAGAGCTCAAAGGAGAAACGTACCTTTTCTAAGCAACAGTGGAGAACGACTTTCATACACGGCATTCAAGCTGAAGAGCGAGATAATGGTCGCGTTGTTGCGGATCAGGCAGCGCCTAGCGGTTGCGCAGCCAGCTGGCCGACGGAGCGAGTTTCATCCTCTTGGAAGAGCTCGTAGACGCCACCCAAGGTCACGACCAAAGCGTTACTGTGAGCATAGAATTGCTCTAGTCGAGTGCGCACTGTCATCACTGCGATGCATGACGCGATCGGCTACTTCTAATGACGGGGATTAAACTCCATGTGATATGTTTTGCCAGGCTCAGGGTCGAGCCGCCGACCAGCGAGGCGCTTAACCACTTCGTCGTCTGGGACGTCCAGTGCCAGCACACAGTCAGGGATTTTCATTGCAACAAGTAGAGCTTGAGCTTAAGTTTCTGTAAATGGGAAACCGCCCCGCAGCCACCAACTAGACTGGCAAATTCGATTGTGCGAGGCTCAAGTACGACAAGCTCCATCCGGAACCAGCTGGTCATTATCCTTGTATCCTTGCGCTTGTTTTCCCAGCGATGTACCGTCACGAATCGCCTGACGAAGCATATCAGCGGGAGATAAATGTACAAAGTGTAAGACACGCACAAGAAGCTCGCATTGAGTGCGTTTACCACTCGCAAGAGCCCCCGTGATGATTAGACACGGAGGATTCCGCAGTCGAAAAGGGGCCAGAGATACTGGAGCTAGGTGGATCTCATGAATCAGTATTACTGTAGTCGCGTCACGATATTTAGCGGCATCAGCGTGGATCGCAGTGGAGATCTTGACAAAAGTTCTGCTGAACTGCTTCACGGTGCTTTGGGTATACAGCGAGCCTTCGTCCAAGTGGGGCATGTGAGGTAGTCTCTGTGCCCACTGCATCACGCTGGCTTGCGTTATCATCTGAGAGCTCCAAAATAGCCACAACGTCGGGCTTTGCACCATGACTCAGCAGTACACGCGCTTGCGTGTCGGTGCGAGGAAAATCTTCCGGTAACCAGCCTCCTGTCTTGCAGTCTAGTTGATCCAGTCGGTTCAGTACGATTTCTTTGACGACATCGTCTGGAACGAGTTCTCCAGCACTTTGAAAGCGGTCAAAGCACTGCACGCCCGCTTTCTATGGTATTAAATACTATGTAAACGCAAACGGCCTTAGCCACCAGGGATTGGTACAGACGCCGCCGAGAAACTGAAATGCAAATACAGGTTATACCCTAGCAAGCGCGGTCGTACTACAGTACGCTCGGTGTTTTCATCCAGAACTTACGTGGTCCTAATGATTTGCAAGGATATATAGCCTATGCCTACTTGATATCCTTTGGGAACTGAAGAAGGTTCAATCTTTTTCAGCTCTGGGCAGAGTCTGTATTCCCCCATTAGGGCCTATCACGGCTGGAAAGTAAGTATGTTTGGCCAGACAATTAAATCAAACCTTCACCCGTCAACTGTGAGAACTTTAGTTCATGTGGTTATTGCTATTAATAATGAGTATCCGTCGGTGCGAAGCCCTTGCTATGAGGTGATCATCACTCTCGTCAGCTTCGCTGTCGTCGCCATCGCGCAGCTCCGTCATAGGTCAGAGCTGTAGACGCTTTTGAGCGGATTGACACGCAGAGCAAGAATCAAAGGACGCGGACACGCACACTGGGGCTGCAAAAGCCACCTCTCGGACAGAAGGAATATTCTCGACTGAGCCAGACTTCTCTGTGAGCTCCTTTGTCTAACGCATTGTGCATATCGCAGTTAGTGTGCACCACACACACTTTACAGCAGAGCTCGACCTACTAATACACGCTTCGACACTCGCACTTCGAGGTCTGCATTGTAGCGGTATGGCTAATCCTCAGCGCTTCTCTCCAGAACTGGGATCGGCTCCACATTCAGTCGCTCACGCAGTTACGCATACTGCGTTGATCCTAGCGGCTTCGTAAAAATGTCAGCTAGTATATCCGTTGTGGCACAATACTTGACGTCAAACTCTCCGCGCTCCTACATGTACAAGTCCCTCACTTTGTGAAACCTCACTTTGTGAAACTTCAAGTCCACACGTTTGGTCTTGTGGTTGCATTTACCTTAATCGTAGACTGGTTATCTTGATACAGTACAGTTGGGCAACGACGGCAGAGATTCAACTCTTCGCAAAGATTGTGAGCCCAAAAAATCATGACCGAACACTCTGCAGCAGTTATGAGCTCCGCGCTGCAAGTATCGTCCTGGGTAATCGACTGCTGGTGGCTTTTGTAGGCGTACGTGTACCCATTCATCTGAAGCTCAAAGCCAGTGATCGATCTCCGATCATCCTTTTCACTACCGAGATCTGCATCAGTATAGGCAGTGAAATGCAAATCCGGACTAGCAGGCTCTCGACATAAACGACCATAGGCACGAGTGCCTTTCAAATAGCGTAGCCACTCTCTTCGCCGTCACAAAATGTTCATGAATGTACCTGCCGATGTACGTTCCGAGGGTCCGCACAGCGTTCGCAATCTCCGGGCGTGTGCCTTGCACCAAATATTAAAGACTACCCACCAATTCTCGGTACGGTATGCTTGGGCCATTCCCCCCGGGTTGATCGTCTTCTACCAGATCAGGCGAGTTGCCTATAGCTTGCGGTGTCGCTACAGGTCTACAGTCTTTCATTTCGAAGCGTTTCAGAATTTTGTCGATGTAGCCACTTTGTGATATGCACATAACATGACCAGGAACATAGAAAATCTCCATATGCCTTCACAGGCCCCAAGTCCTTGCTTTTAAACTCAGCTTGAAGTTCACTCAGAACCAGCTCAATGTTCTTATGAGTTTCCGCAATGATCAAATCATCGATGTACACGGTCACAAATACGAGGCTTCCTCCCACTGAACGAGTGTAAACGCCTCCGTTCATCTTCGTCCGGCGAAAGCCACTTCACCTCAAGTGCTAATCAAGCGTTTGGTACCATAGCAATGATGCTTGCTTTAACCCATCCAAACCCCGCAACAACTTACAAACTCGACCAGAACCGGCGTCAAAATATTTAGGCAGCTTCATATAAATCTGAGCCTCACCGATCAATCCGTTCGAGAATGCAGTCACGAAGTCCACATGGCGAGCCTCAAGTTCCAAGTTCAGCGCTAGCAGCAAGACAAACTTCACAGCCTCCAGACAAACCACTGGAGCGTACGTCTCCCAGAGGTCAACTCCATAGCTCTGCTGACAGCCTTTGATTGTGATTCGATTGCGATGACGCACGAGGCTTCCATGTGCACCACGCTTCCTCAGAAACACCCACTTGCTTGTCAGCACCTTCTTGTTCTTGGGCCTTTCCATCAGCTCCCACGTGTTGTTCCGCATAAGATCATGATGCTCCTTATCTAATGCTTCAATCCGTTTGCCGGCATCAGGCGAATTCAACGCCTCTTGCACAGTTAGTGGCTCCATCACCATATTGACGGCCTCAATAATCAAACTTGCAAGAGCTTCAGCTTCAAAGTCTTTATAGCGAGGATACGGGTGTCAAACCCGTGTCGATCTTCGAAACGACTTAGCTGTATCACTTGCGTTAGCTTCATCCTCGTCACTTCAGCTGGCACTGAGAGCTCTATCCACGTCCCCCATCGGAATAGCTGGATCGCCAGATCCAATCGGCCTTTTCTCTTCGAGATCGTCTACTTTATCAGCTGCTACGAGATCAACTTCCTGTTTGTCCTCACCGCCAACCTCTACTACCCCCACTGAAAGTAAAATCGTAGGTAGGTAGCTGACCAACCGCAAAATTGCTGTCAAGCAAAGCCCGCAGCTTACCTTCCCGATATGCGTTTGAGCCCATGTGCCACGAGGTGTGTTAAGCCTCATAGACAACTGCTCACGTCCCACCGCAGCAGGAGCCACCTCGTCATCACTATAAGGAAATGTACCAGCCGCACCCGAACAAACCGGACGATTTTCTGTGTAAAACGTAGGGGTAGCAGTATCACCGTCGCAACGGCGGCGATTGGAAGTAGGACCATCAGAGGAGACATCCCGATCAGCACTCATTATAGACGTCGCAGGCAAATGGACAAACGGAATCAACGTAAGCAAAGTACGGGTCCATCCTCGTCCATAACGATTATTGTGTAGACACACCACGTAGCTGCGATCTACAGTCCAGGCCCCACAGAGCTCACTTCTTGGATGTGGCCGATGTGCAAACTTAGCACCCGAAAACTATTCGAGTATTTAGCAAAGCCCATAGACAAACCAGGCTTGCCTGGGTTCTCTAGCTTGTTTTTGCGAAGCTCCATCGGCGTGAACACGAACACTACACAGCCCCAAGTCCGCAACTTGGAGACATCAGGCCGCTCACCAAAGCGCCTAATATGGGACACATCACCTTTCAAAGGCTTCGTTGCAAAAATATTCCTGACCTCGACAGCCCACAGAAAGCCCGGCATGTTTGCAGTAGTCAAGATGCAGCGCACCCGAGCCTACAATACCATTCTTCCTCTGTGTCAGCCCATTCTTCAGGACTGTACCCGTTTGTCCAGGTATACTCAACTCCATGAGCAGTGAGAAAGGTAACCAATTGGTTATTGAGAAGTTCACGGCCTTGGTCAGAGTTGATAACCTCGATTTTATTCCCCTGAACCAACAACCATTTCACATGCGCTAAGACGACGCCAGAGGCATCTTCCTTTCTTCTCATCATGAAGCTCCGCAAGTACCGGCTTGCTTCATCTTGTACAGGCTGGAAAGGCGAGTAGCCATCGTACGTGACAATACCCATGTAGCACATGTCTGACATGCGCTTCTGGAAAGGTCTTGTTGCACGGCGAGACCTCGTCTTTTTTGAAAACATTCGAGTCATCTTCGCGCCTTACAACGCCAGCATAGAATATCACTGTCTTCGGTCAGCTCCGAGCCTATTCCAACTGCAACTTGCTGACGAGTCATTTGCTTAAGTGCAGGAACACTCAAATGAGCGAATCGGAGTTGCCAGAGCGTCGACGATGCTGTATGACTACGTTGCTGCACCGACGATACCGACGGGGCATGGTACACCAAGTTTGCTGCAGTCTTCAAGCGGTACTTTGCGGAGCTTCACCAGCATTACTTGCAGATGTCCTTTGAACAGCCAAGCCACTAGATCTGAATCACGAAGACCACACTTTAATGTCCACCCATCGTTCTCTACCAGACTAAGCAAATTATCAGGTGCCTAAGGCTCGAAGATCACTCAAAATTAGGAGTCACGTTTTGATGTGGCTGCGTACTATTCCGCACACAAAAGCAGCACATGTCTAACTTGCTCATTGTCAGCCACCTTTCGCCGTATCCTAAAAACAAAACGTGCGCATATCCTCGAAATACGTGCGCAGTACTGCGACAGCAAGTCTCGCCGATTGCAGGCGTGCACATCAGAGTCCAAAGCAAACTCGACTCCACCTCCACGCGAGTCTGAAACCGAACCAACAAACCAAGCCTCACGAGGAATACAACCCACTGCAATGACTTTCTTCCTCTTTGATTCATCTTATTTTCCAGCTTCATTCTGACAATGCTTTTGCTCAGACGTTGCTGAACCAGCACCCGTAATTCCATTATCAGACGAATCATCTCTGTGTGGATGATTGGGTTTCAAATACCCGACTTTACCGCAGTGATAGCAAGTTCGAGTATTCTGCTTGTCTTGATTCGTCCCTCCACCAGCCTTCTTCCCCGGCTTGTTCCCTTGCTTGGAACTTTCCTTCCCTTCTCGACCACTACGCTTGCGCTTGCCTTTACCCGGTGGCTTCTGATGGTTGAGTTGGGTAGACCGCTTTCCACACGCAGCAACATCAACCGACGTTTGCTCCTCAATGTTAATCTTTTCATCGAGGGCTGACTCGGCACGCAAAGCGTTCATCACTTGTGTAGCCATAGGAACAGGTCGGTCTGCTCTACCATCACGTCCAACCACGTAATGCTTAGAGAATTGTCGTACAACACCACAATGCGTGCGAGCGCCGTAACCAAGCGGCGTCTCTGCCTAATCGTCATCAGTCAAGCGCTTGCCATAATGAAGAAGCTGACGACGCAGCGTCTCCATTTCACGTAGCCGTTGGTTCATGGTCTTATCCAGGGTTAGCACGTTGGAATAGAGCTCAGCGCGTGCAAAAATATAGTTGGAATATTCGCGTTTTGTCTGCTTATCTACGAAGCTGTTCCACATCGCTTGAGCTGTCTCCTCCTGGCAGATCATCGCAGCATCAAATGCAGAAACACCCGACAAAATTGCTTCACGCGCCATGTTATCCTTGACCTCAAACACTTGCTGCAGCAATGGATCTCTCCAATCAAATGTGCCATCAACAACGCTCCAGCAATCCATGCGAGTCAAAAACGTTCAAAGGTGCACAGCATACAGATCAAATCCACCCTTCATCTTTAAAGCATTATCCATATTCACTGGTTCAGCACGAGGAAAAACATTTCCAGGCATCCCACCAAACCCAATGCTAGTAGAACCAAATCCGGGACCTAACCCAGCATGGTCAGTCGAAAACGCACCAAATTGAAGCCCCAAGCTCCATAACCACTTCCACTAACTCCTGGCACGGTGGGAAAAATGGGAAAGCTCCAGGATATTCCAGAAGACGCTCCAGACACCGGTCGAGCTACCTCAGCAATTCCTGTGCTAGTTCCAGACATGGCTGACGTTGTGTGCAGCATTGTGGACGACGAATCCACAACTCAAGTACTTGCACTCCTTGTTGGTGTGCCGCTTGACATCCTCTAACGCGTAGCTCTCTGGGGACTCGAAGATG